CATCTGTCTCTTTGCTTGAACGAAGAACGCGTACTCCAGGACACAGGGGCTTTCAAATAAACTGCACAAGGACTCTGGAACCGTGTGAACGTGTAATCAGACGGCGTGACTCCAGCTTTGCGCAATTTTTCAAGCAGCCGTTGTTCTGGCGAAGTACCCCTGGAGTAATAGAACAGTAGAATCAGATGACAAAAACCTTGCAACCAAATGGCCATCACTTTGTCCACATGCGGAATGAACTGAAGCACAAACGACATGAACTTGCCAACCTCTGTAATAAGAACATGTGCTGACCGAATCTCCTTTGCGGAGAGTTGATTGGAAGCAAGGCTGTGTGCAATTCAGACAACCTGAAAGGCTGCTGCTGCAATGCACGTAGAGAGACTCTTGATACCCATCCTAGATGCAAAAGTCGCCGAGATCCCGAATTTTACTGCAAGTTCTTGCAGTTTTGCTTTCTCCTTGCCTCCGTAGTTGATCTGCACAAGCTTGGAGACAGACACAATGTGTTCTTGAAAATCGACAAAGCGCTTTCCTAGGGGTCGTTTGAAGCTCTGGATCCACTTGTCGACGTCCCCCTCTCCTGATCCCTTTAGTCGGGCTTTGTGATCATTCAGGGCTTCTGCAGGAACACTGTCGATCTTACGCTTGAGGTCACTCTCCCAAGTCTGCGGTGGTGTCACGGATTGTGGACACGGAGCACTAGATTGCGAGGCAACCGGGAGCTGTGTTTGCAAAGCGGGTTTCGTGGGGGTAACGGGAAGTCCTGCGGCTTGTAACTGTTCGCGGCGGCGATTGAGCTCTTCCGTAACTTGAAGAAACTTCTGAGATTGATCGACGCCTGCAGACACCGGCATGTTGTCAAACATGAGCTGAACGATCTTGTCAACCATCGGCTGAAACAGAGCTGCACAATCCGTGTTCTTGTTGGGAATGATTGTAGATGGATTAGCGGCCTGAAAGAGATGCGTAGCAACTGCATCGATGTCAACTTTGCGATCTCGAAGGTTCTTCGTCACTTGCGACATGAACACTGCTTCGGCAACCGTAGCAACTGGCACAACACTGAAAAACTTGCCATGACTCAATGCTCGAAGACGCCAATCTGAGACTCCATGAAACAGGAATTCCTGAACAGGAATGCTGAGTGGGTCTTTTCCTGCGATCCCTTTCTTCCGCGACCACGGGGTGGCTTCGATGGACTTACGAAAGGACAACCCATGAAGCACCGTTGAATCATAATGATCCCGATCTAACGCCCATCCATTCGGTAGTGCAGGAACAGGACCAGGACCTTGATGACATGGCATGGGAGTAGACGGCGAAGATGAAGGTGCCGAAGAAAGAGGAGGCGGAGGTAGTGGAGGTGGCTGACTAGCAGGTGCAGACTTGGAGAGGTTGGGATCATTCCAACTTCCCGAGTTATACGGCTGATAGCGGTGCTGACCCCACGATTGCTGGGACCTCCCGTACCCTGTGCTGTTGTCCCACTGCCCGTTCCATGCCATGGTTTCAGATCTATCAACAAATCTGGATGCGCGGAATCACTAACGACACTTCTGATCAAAAAGCTGCAACTCAAGACGGCTCATGAAGAAACTCTTGCACATCCCTTGCACGTCACTTGCACGTCCCATGCATAAACTCTTGCACATCCCTTGCACGTCACTTGCTCTTCTCACTTGCAGTACACTTGCACGTCCCTTGCAGGTGACAACGGAAGAAACTTGAAGACGTGGCCGGTCAAAGCAGCATGTTGCACTCAGACCCTCCAAAAAACAAGAAGCGCTTCCGGGATGAAACATGACGAGCGAAAGACCCATCTGCCATCTTTGGCACGGGCAACATCACGAATGTAGCTGCAAGAATGGTCACCTTCGACCCCTCCCATGGGGATTCTTGAATGGGGAGGTGTGAGGGATCCTTGACGATTAAACGCATGTCCGAAAATGCACACCGGACGCTCACTCAGAATGCCACCGTACTTGGCCGCTGCCTCTTGTGCTTGTTCTGCATCTGAAGTGTGAGCCCTAGCATAGAAGGAAATTGGTGGGGACCACTTGCTGTCACTAGCATCCCACCAAGAAGGTCGGATCGCTCCCTCAAGAAGGATTGATGCAGCCGCTGCCACTGTTGTGTTGTGTGCAACAGGAGAACGACGAATCCCTGCTGCAGAAGCATGCGACCTGATCATGGTCCTCTCAAAGTGGGTGAAGTGGATGCTCAAGCACTTGCACGAACTCGACAAAGAACGAAGCTCCACAGAATGAATGTTTGCGGCTTGGTCAGCTGCTGCAATTGCCTGAGAGACATACTTCAATGCTGTCGAATTGACAGCGTGGGGAGGAAGACCTAACAGGCTGATCAGATAGTCCGCCGTGCTTTGCATCAGAGAGCTGGGAACCTGCAACTCAAGATTGGCCGGTATCTTTGACGAAATCTCACATGCCGATTTCATACGGCCAGGGCTGGAACTGATCAAGTGACGTAGAGCAGTAAACATGGGGTATAATGCGACCCAATTGAAGCTAGATGAATACACGCGTATCAGCTTCGCTTCTTCATCTCGTACTTCCAACCCACGAAGTTCAGGAATCACGAAGAAGTTTGAATCTTGCTCCCACTCAACTTCCACATGCCCTTTGAGAAGAGATCGATTCTCAAAATGCTCATACGAGTCTTGCAAAGGTCTAACTCGAAAGACGTAAGTCTGGTCCGCACTGAGCTGCCACCCTACGCGATCTGCATGAGTACCAGGAATCTGATCACAAATTGCACGAAGTCGAATGCTGTTAGGATCTGCAACAAGAGAAACTTCACTTCCAGGGACTTGCCGAAGTCGCTTTGTTGGCTGGTCTGAATCATCCGTTTGATACGTGATGGCTGACTGTTGGCTCTGAACAGATGCTGCTGACTGATTCCGTTGAGAAACAACAGACTGCTGAATGTCAAGCAAATTGTTGAGGCCAGCATACACATCTCTGTGGCCTCGGACATGTGTCAAGTTTGCTGCCATAATCGCTGAGTATTCAGCGAAATCAGCCACCGAACGAAACGACAACCGGAAACCTGTGCCGTCTGCATGAAGAGTGATTGCGGGGGGAACCTCTTGCTGCATAATCTGCCGATCATTTACAGGACGAGCAGCAATCACAGTAGGAGTTACATCTGTAGCTCTCGCTCCAACATCGGATGCAGAAGGGACCGGCAAAGAAGAAGATGAGGCAGGCGCTGGGCAGACTGCAAGAGTGGGGGGTGGCGGGGGGAAGGCGGGAGGGGGAAGGGGAGGGGGGGGTGGAATCCACTTCGCTGTGGTACCACGGGCGGGGGCAGGGGTGGAAGTGGGAGGGGGAGGCACAGGGAGATGGGGGAAGGGGGAGGATGGAGGGGGAGGAGGAGGTGGGGGAGGAGGGGGAGGGGTTGATGTGCGGGTACTGCGTCTCTTTCCTGAAGAATCCATGGCAAACTGATCAGCAACTACTCAGAAGTACAGCTCAGAAACTCGGTTTGTAGCCAAAGACCTGCGACAAGTCAGCGAAAAAGTCAGATTCGGGAAAGTCGACTTGATCATAGACAGTCAATGAGAAAGTCAGCATTCAGGTTTCGGTAGAAGCATTCGGTGAAGACTCATTGAGAAAGTCAGCTTGCAAGCATGGATATAGAATCAGGGAAAGTCATCCAATGCTTATACAGTCAATCGGGAAAGTCAACGCCAGAGCTACCTCTGGGAGACACGGCGCCCATAGGGAATGCCGTTGTGAAGCACACTTGACACATCGTGTCGCAGGTCTCGAATCACACTCTCAAAGTCAGAAGAGTCAGCTGCTTGAAGTTACTCGATCTTGTCATTTTGGCCAACTGTGAAACAACGGCATCTTTGGGGTATTTCGGGCGGCCGTTATGCAGGTACGTCACAGGAACGTCTTCCCGTGATATCACAAGCAAACTGGAGCGTCTTCATTGGTGCAAGACTCCAGAATGCTTCTTGCACCCCCTGCATGACACACAATCGACCCTTCGGAACAGGGATGGACACACACACACACACACACACACACACACGCTTACTTTGGCTTGGCAAACTGATGCGAAGGAAGACAGACAGGATCAGACGAGAGACAGATTGCGGCAACCATGCAGTATCACTGAAGGCCAAGTACGAAAACAACAGCGTCTTTTGGGGTAGTTTGGGCTGGCCTTTGCGCTGGTACACAAGGGTGATCAGCCTTTGCTTCCCATCAGATTTCGTAGCTTTGTCAGGCTCGGTCCGAAATCTGATGCCAGGCCCCCCTGCCTGAAAGAAATCGCTTGCAAACTACTGCATCGGAAGGCTCACTCTGACACCATGTTCAGGCGTGTACACACACACGCACGCACGCAGACAAAGCAAAATCCACGGACACAGACAACATGGAGTCAGACACGAGCTTAGCAGTCTTGTCAAGATGGCTTTGCCCTTTGGTGCCTGGTCTGCACGATTCTGCAGCTCCGGCAAGAGGCCTTGCAGCTGACTCCAGAGAGTCGAGCGCATGACTTCGGATGCCGCGGTGCCAGCATCCAAGGCTCTGTCCAAACCTAGAGGCTTCGGCAGAATCTGACTTCAGGGTTCAGAGCTTCGGGGTTTGGGGTTTACGGTTCAGCGTCTTTGGGCCTTGGGCTGTTGAGTTGCGGCTCAGTGGGAAAGTCTGCAACGGGCTGCGAATTGCTCAGAGGATATGAATGCATGCCCATGTCAAGATGGAGTTCAAATCTGACAGAAGTTGCATCCACAAGCATTTCGTTATGATTGTCGACAGTTGTGGCATTAGGAACCTTGCGCACTTAAGCTGGATGACGAATTGGTAATTGCGGGGCACACTGTAGGAAACGAGGGATCCCGTGAAAGGTCACCTTACAAGCGCAGCCCACATGCATGCGATCACGCTCCGGGTGCCCCCCTGCTGTGCCGACCACCCTGAGACCTCCAGGCAGGTTGGGGTGTGCACGTGTACAACCCGCGCCTGCCAGCGCATCCTCGTCAGAAGCTGAAAAGCTCTGGCATCGAGCGGGTGGAGTCTGAAACCATCTGGAGGTAGAAGAGATGCTGCCGCGGTCCCGGGCCTGGATCTTGAAGCGATGCTGGCGCAGAGGTCTGTCCTCCCATACCATGACGAAGCGCTTAGCGCGGGCATCCACCAACCAGGATTTCACGACATCACCAGCCGCACCGGCTTCCAGCGAAACGAGAACCGTGGAGACCTTGCAGGACATCCACGTCAAGCCAACTCGATCTCCTGGGTAAGCAAAGGTGGTGCCATGCAGGTCGTTCACCAGTAGGCCGGTGACATGCAATGCAAGACCGTCCATGCAATCATCGTCGACGACAGAGCTCAAGTAGGTTTCTGGTGCATGCAATCTCCTGCAGCTCTCAGATGTAAGGCCTTGTTCCCAGTTGCTACCAGCATCCGAAGCACGGCAAAGCCCGTGCTCCGTCGTGATCTCGGAGTTGTTCCGAAGAAGTCGCACACTTTGGACAGGGCCATGGTGCAAGGTCGGTGGGAGAGCAGTGACAGGATCTCCGCAGTCATCGCCATTCTGCAACCAGTAACGGAAATGGTTGCTGCAGTCCATCTGGGTCTCGCCTAGCAACCTCAGTCCGCTGCTGTCTCGCTTTAGACGAACATGCAGGTCTCAGCAACAGAACTCTTGACAACTCAGTCCAGCGACAGCTTCGGGGCTCCGAATGTGTGCAGCCATGTCGGAGAAGTTTGCATCGGACGGTCCAGCCGATGCAGAACAGCAACCGCTCCTCCGCGCACATTGGACGATTAGACTTTTCTCTGCAACCAATGCACAGCCAGTAAAGGTGACAGACGTGAACGAATGTGCCCACGGCGATCTCTGGGCACAGGAAGGAACAGCTTTCGGGACGAGTTGCTTTGCAAGCAAGGATGGACCAGGATGGGATGTTGCTCGGTTCGATTTAACACAACCAGTCCTCCGAGGCTATGGCCAACAATGTGAATCTCCTGACAGCGTGGGCTTCTGGACATCTCCATCCAGGTCGCCCATGCCGATGAAGCTTTGTAGGCCTCATACTCTTGCAGAAACTGCGCGTGCACAGTGAAGGAGCCCGCTGAAGTCGCAAATGTAGCAGTTTCATCGGACATAAGACTACTGGAGAAGCCGTGGACGTCCTCTCCCGCCAGCCAGTCCTTCACTCCGGGTGTGTATCATGCAACGGCTGCCATGAGTAGTATGTAGGATCCAAGGCCATCTTCAAGCCTTAAGGATAGGCTCTAGGGAAACCAAGACACTACTGCACCAAACCCCAAATCCTGCCGTATCTTCCCATTTTCACGATTTCGTACATGAGAGGAATCGTGGACTACAATTACCACTGTGGCCTTCTGGCTCACGGCAGTAATAGACTCTTCCATGGTTCTTTCATGTTTTTTTTGTAGAAATCAGGAAAGCTCTATGTGATGGTTTCATAATGCAGTAGTGGCGCAAGAACCTATGCCTAGACCGTACTCCAGGTCCTGGAGGTTATGCCCGGGGAAACTGACCGCACAGCGCGACCCCGCCGTCGCGACGACGGCACAGCTGCCCTGGGACTGGAGCCCCAACGAAACCGCAGCCTCCGCATCGGAAAGAGCTGAACACGTTGGCACTAGACTGCAAAAGTTGTAAACATTGCAAACCTCGGGTCCCTGCCTGGTTCTGGCAAATGGCGAAGTCGAATCCCCAGCCCTCCGCCGCATGCACGCCCATGTCGGCAGCGGCGTTCTGTGGCACGTAGGCCCCAACGGCCAAGCGAGCCATCTGCTCCGGCACGCTCTGTCGGTCTGTAGCCACGACTTCCGGCGCATCACGGACGGCGACTAAAATGCTTCCTTCATGACTGTCCAAGAGGGCAAGGAAGGACTCCAGGGCAGTTTGTCCATTGAGGACTCTGGCCAAAGGTCGCTCAATCTTGCCTTGCCCAAGGAGGATGGAGCCCTGCGACTCTGCCAGAACGCCAAAGTCACCACAGCCGATGGAGATTGCATAGCGATCCGGAACAGCTGGAAGCATCACCTTGTCCTTTCCGCAAACCACAGTATTTCCACTCCGCCTGTAAGTGGCCGCATACTCCCCTGCGGGGATCCTGCAGAAAGAGAGAGATGCCAGAAGGGAAGGAGGGAGCTCCTATAGAAGGCGGTGAACACCTATGAACCATGAACCAACCCCGATCCTGGAGAGATTCGGCGCATTGTTCTGCCATGGAGGCTCAAGCGTGTCCAGCCGAAGGTCATAAGTCGTAGAGCCATACTTGACTTTAAGCTCCCCAAACGTCAGGTTTGCACCGTACGAAGGAGAGTCTGGCACACGGATGACTTCCACGTGCAGCACATCGGTCAGTCCATCGCAAAGCTGCAGGTCCTCCTGACCCTGCACTTCTGCGAGGAGTCCCTGAACCATAGCGCCGGCACTGACAGCAGGCGCTAAGCATGTGCCAACCGCATCGCTAATGGCCTCCACAACCACACGCCACAAGTCTTCGAGTTCGACTTCTGGGGAGTAGCTGCGAATAGCATCGGCCAAGTGGCTCTGCGAGGGGAAGGGCAGGAGTTTCAGCACACCCCAGACTATGGCCGAAGCCAAAGGTTCAGCTTCATGTGAGATCAGATGTCGCAGAGGCTCCTGCCAAAAGGCAGCTGCACTGTCAGTCCGAAAACTGGACCCAAGTTCGGGACACCCGTCGCAAGGAAAACAGCTCGTTTGCTTTCAAGAACTTGTCGATAAACACAATGCCTGAACCTGCACATTCTCCATTAGCCTTAAATTACCTGGTAGCGGTCCTTCATATTGGCCATACACTGTGCCACGGCCGTAGCAAGGCCACTGGCTGCTATGCTGCCTGCAGCCAGCAAATCCGCTGCCACGGGGTCCTGACAAACACAACCGCGCAGAAAACATCCGGATCCTGTCAACGTCCGGCTCTGGCACCCTGAAATATGACGTAATTCAATGTAGTGCAATGATATGCAATACCATCCGGCCTCCAACCACGCTAGACAGTTTACAACTGCTGTTCCGAAACCACGCAGCCTCCACGGCATCCATGTCGTCGTCATCGACCACCGATGTGGGGTCACCCATGACATCCACGCCGGCGATGGCAGCGCTCAATGCTGGCAAGGCCTGCTGGAGAAGCATCTGTTGGACTCACTCGACAGACTCTTCTTCGTCAATCACGCTTATGAAGCTCTGATTTGTGAAACTGGTCCATCAGCCGAAGACACACCCCTCTATCTCCACCAAACAGAACAGCTTCGCCTGTTTCCAAAATTCGAAACCTCGACATCTCTGAAGATCCTTAACAGCCAACGGACATCTTTGAATGAGCCAGATGTTGTTCGGACCCTTACTGTGAAGTGCGAAATCAGCAGCTGTCCCGTGAGCCGCCCGCGTGCGGCCTGAGTCTCCACGAGGGCTGTGGCTGGATCAAGAATGTACGTGGACAGACGAGGTGTCAGGAGCTTTGTCCCGAGGTTTGCAGCCGTCACCACCAGCCCTCTTGCCAACGCTTGCATCAAGCTGGCACTGAAGTCGCGAAACGCTGTTTTGATGTTGGTAGAAAAAGTCCTGAGCTGCTCTGGGATGAAAGCTTTCATGCTTGCAGCAGACTTCGACATCGCGTCCTTGACTGCTGCCCAAAGCTTGGGCAGGAGCCTCTTCCTTCGTATTTCCGCTGGCATCTCAGAAATGGCCGAAACACTTGCGGAGACGATGCTCCCAGCCATTTTCGATGGCTGTCCGGACTTCTGCACCTTGGCCTGGATGTTTTGAATCAAGTGTTCGATAAGTCCACCGACTTCCGTTGTGGCCCAACCCCCAACCGCGCCGAAAAGGTTGGACACTGCCGTCTCAACCTCATCAACGACGCCCTGCACCAGAGAGTCCACGACGCCCTGGGTCATGGAGTGGAGGAGTGCCCGAACTGCTCGCTTCAGGGGTCTGAGGATAAAGTCCTGCCGGGCAAGCAGTCGTATCATGTTCCTAGGTACTGCGATTACGTATGGCAGTAGCACCCATGTCCAGATCAGAGCCCAAGTCGAGTCCCAGAGTGCGCGCCAGAGAAGCCAGCGCCGCGTAAGCTAGGTCATGCAACGCTTGCCTGCATTGCAGAGCTCACGAATCGCAGAGAAAGTGAAAGATTTGACATGGGCCTCACGACGGAATGCCGTCAAGGTATTGTTCAGTTAGAGAACGGCAGCCGAGGCGCGTGGTTGTGTCCACAAGGGGAGTCACGAACCTGCCAATGGCTTCCAAGGCCTGGCAGGCACTTGAAAGGATTGCCCAAAACTGCTCGGGGCGCCGGCGGCTACTCAAGATGAGCATGATGACCAAATTCACTGCATCAAGCAGCTTCTCGCCTTGTCTTCTGCCGCGATCAACGAGCCAGTCACACCCTGAAAGCCTCGCAACACCTGTCAGTGAGAGCTGCTGAAGATCCAGCAACCGTAAAGGATGGTCTGATGTAGTGTTGCTTGCGGCTCTGAGAAGTTTAGGTTAACAGGCATCGCAGGCACAAACCGCAACACATTCCAGGCCTGGTCGCGGAGGGAACGCCCAACAGATCGGAGTATGTGGTCAGCCAGGCCCTCTGCCTGCTCTGTGGCCTGGCTCAGCCTTCTTGATTGATGTGTTGCCTTGTGCTTCTTTGCATTGTCTGACGGGCCCTGCTGCGAGTAAGGCTTGTCTCTCTTCTTCTTCTGCTGTCTTGCCAGCTTCTTCTGTAAATCCTTCAATGCTTGCTTCCATGCCTTGTCGGCTGTCTTGGCCGCCAACCCTTCCACGATGTAGTTATTGATGTCGTCACGGAGAGGACAATCGTCCGTCAACTTGTCTTTTGACTGCAGCCGCTTGCAATTCGCCTTGTACCATGTTTTCCACGCTCCGTTACTGTTCCTGGTATCCGTGGGTGCATCGCACACGCAAACCGTCATTGTTTCCTGACTTGTTTTCTGAAGCTCGTCTGCACACGTCAGCGCCTGGGCCCAAATATCGTTCTCGCCGCAGTTGTCGTCGGTATCGCCGTCCTCCTTCTTCTTGCAATCATAGCCAAACCACTCCGAATGACCATCATTCGTCTTCAACGTCTTCCCGTTCTCATCTTTTAGCTTTTCCTTTCTTATGTGAAGCTCATCAAGCTTGTTGTTACTTTTGCAGTGGCAGTTGCGGTCATCCAGGTGTACCCATGCCAACGGGTACATGCGCGAGTCACAAACCTGGAGGTTCTTGGCATCCTGCTTGCCCAGCCGATAGTGTGTGCAGTGCTCCACACATTCGGGCGAGTAGGCGTACCTGCCATCAACCAACATGATCTTCAATATCTTCTCGGAGTGAGACTTTGCTCTGGTGACTGCCTTCTGAAACTTCTCGGCCCACCTCTGCCCTTTTGGAAGGCGTTGCTCCTTCTCCAGATCTTTCTGCGTTTTCGGCGTGCTGGCGAGACCAATTTTCCACACCTGGTGTTCGTTCTTTGAGTCATCAAAATCGTATTTGAAGTCATCGATGGTGTGTTTCGGATGAGTTGTGAAGTATACGGTGCCCTCGACTTTCAGGCTGAGCCGCCTTCCCAGCCCTGGCTCCCCAAGCATCTCGTCAATCCATGCGAGCGTCTCAAGACGGACGGCCTCCGTCACGTCCCAAGCTACGTCCGCCAGTGCGAAGTCGGCGGCCTCGGAGACGCTCGCATCCAACTCGGCACCGGTACCGTTCAGGCCCGAGCTCAGCAAGCGGGCGCCGTTTGCGAGGAAGTCACCTGCTGCGCGGTCACTGGCCCGACCCAGAGAGCGCTCGGTCTCTGCGTGGAGGACGGCAGTGAGGCGTCTCAACAGACTATCCCGCAACCTTGCCATTTCACTGCTGAGAGCTTGAACCTGTTCAGCACCAGTTGCCGAGGCAGTGGATGGCAAATGACCTGCGTTGGGCAGTTATCGCGTAGTCTACCGGAGTGGAGATGGGATCGGTTTTCGGCCATGCTCTCCCTAGATCTACGGTCTCCCCAATGCTTCTGAACAACACTTGACAACCGCGAAAGTGAATCCGATCCTTTTGGTGCATCTCTGCCAGCCTGTGATGTTCAAAGGAGGGAGCATCAAATCCACGGCTTCCTGGCAGAGCAAAATACATGCAGTCCACATGTCAGCTCTCAGATGGCAGCTTCACTGCATGAATCTGAAATTATGCTTGTCACACCAGGGGATGGCTCTCCTGCACCAAGATGCTGGCCACCTGCGCCAGCCCTTGGGTCATGGTGCTCTTTAGATGAATCGCCAGCCCGTCAAGAGACTCCAGCATTTCGGTGAGGATAGGAACCTCCACACTGCTGAACGGAACACAACAGCATACCGCGCCGAAAAATACAACATCAATCTGGAATCCTTATGCCGCACCGTATGAAGTAAAGCACGACAATCTTGGACTCGATGACCATATTTCGCCACCACACCCAACCCCAACCGACTATGTTTGGGTAGCCACCTGGTTGTTCGTGTGTTCTGTCCATATCAGTTGCGCATCCAGCGACAAAGCATTATCTGAATTTCTGCTGACCCCGACAACAATGCCTTCCTTCTCCTCTTCCCAGGCAAACCCCCATGATCGTTGCCTACGGCCTACGATGGAACTTCGGAAGGTGCGCTTCTTCTACATGGAAGCCAGAACGAGAGATTTGTCGGACTGGAGAGTTGAAGTGTTTGCCGATCGCCCGGACCGGAGGAAATCAAAGATGGAGATTCTCACAAGCAGAAATGAGGAAGAGGACTGGAAGAGCAAGGCAGTACTGAGAAAGCAAAGTCAACGCTTACGTCTGACCTTCAACACACTCAGCAGGATCTCAACAGCACCACCGGCCCGGTCCAGTCCAGCCAAGTAACTCGAAGCTTTTGGAGAAGGCCAGCAGACAGAGCACCCCTGGCAATCTCTGCTTGCTCTTGCAGCTTTGCTCCAACAGAGCCGTTCAGCGCCCTTGCCAGCCCGCCCGAAAGGCCGGGCTCCAGATGGTCTTCCAAAAAGTTGACGATCTTGGGCCGGGCCATCTCAAAAGCAGCAGAAGCACCCATAGACGCAAACGCCTTATCTGTGACCTGCTGGTTCATGTACTTGTGCTCCTTGCGCTGCTGCTTGCACCCATATTTGTCAGTGCTGGCCTTCTTCGATGCTAGCCGTCGAGAGGTCGAGCCTGCGACGCTGGCCATCTTGGGACAGGGTTCATGGTCGCCAAAGCCACAAAAGCGGCACTGCAAATGACCCCCAGCTCCACAGCCGAAGCCTCTGCTTCGCGGTGCCGGGGACATGCATGAAGCATCCCTGTAGCACAACTCCCTGGGGTTGTTCGTGCAAACAGCAGCAGCGAATTCAGTGCACACCGCAGGGCGCAAGTCCTCATCTGAAGCCGTTTGGGGGCCAGGACAGCTTGCATCGTCTGCTGCAAGGTGCAGAAGGGCCTCTTCCGTGCTACCAAAAGCCAAAGCAACATGTGCACAATCGATGCTAACTTCTGGCACACATCTTCCATCATTGGAGGGTCGATGGCACCCGAGCTCTTCGCACTGCATCCGGGAGATGCACTCGGATCGGCCATCGAAGTGATGCAGAACAAGCTTCCCACGTTGACATTGCGAGCAATCGTGCTCTCCCGGCCCCGAGCAATGCTTGCAGCCGGCTGCACACGGCTCACAGCATAAGTGCACAAAGCAGTGCGACTCAGCCAGTGAACTTGCAGCAGAGCAATCATCAGATCGAGAGTCCCGACACTTTACAATAGCTTGTTCAACGAAAAAGCCGTCTCTACACTTCCTCTGCTCCTGATTCGGGGAGCTGAGCGGATAGGCTGCTTGCTCTCCGCGTGCGCTGAGACTGCACGATTGCTCGGACTCCTCACTGCTCTCGGCCACACTGACATGTGGAATCGCATCAAAATGGTCAACAAGCCGCAGAATCTCGGGGGGAGCATCGGCCAGAAATCGGGGCCGCTGCAGCGACGGTTCACGCAGCCGCCGATCTTTCTGGTGCAAGCGCCGCTCTCTCGGAGACTCACTTGCAAACGCTTGCGTGCTTGAGCTGTTGATACAGAATTCAGCGACTATCGGGCAGCTTTCCAGGCTGCACTTGCTCCTTTCTATGGTCTTCGGACAAGCTGCCGCCCTGGAGTGAGGGTGCTGAAGGATCTCGCGCTGACGTGTGTGCCAGCCCACACCACAGGTCTTGGAGCACTGTGTCCAGTCAGCCCAGTCCGACAGCAAGCACTCTTGAAGAGGAATCGCCAAACAAGGCTCCGTGCTCGGGGCTAGGATGCCCTGGTAGCCTTCTTGGCACTCTCCACAGGTGTTTAGGGCAGTGTAACCGGCAAAGCATCGACTGGGACGGTGGAGGCTGGCACAGAAGTTACGATGCAAGAGCGGGCATGCGATAGCGGGCAGCTTTGCTGCCAACATCTCCACTTTCTGGAAGCCCAGCTGTGACCAGGATGATGTGTTCATGGCCACGTTCACCTGGGATGCCACTAGTTCAGCAGTCATGGGAAAGTCGATGGAGATTGTGTGCGTATCCGGCAGGTATTTCACGGGCAGGTTGCAAACTTGCGGAGCTAGGTCACTGGACCTCGACACATTGGAACGATTGTGTTCGCAAGCAATGATCGGCTCGGCTGTTTGCAATCTGAGGCCGAAGCCACGCAAGTCTTCAAGACTCTCATCACTTATTTCATCCGGACTTGTGACGCTGAGCAGCATCAAGGTCTGAAACCGGCCAAGCTCAGCGAGATCAAGTTGGATGAGTATTTCCTGGTTCTGAAACATTGGTGGTAAAGTTAGCTTCATCTCCCTAAGTGCAACGGGCTCTGCGAGCTGAAGGCATAGGTCAAGGGCATCCGCTTCCACGTACCAGGACAATCCCTCTGCAAGTCTCTGAGCACCATCCTTCCTTGCCTTCATGGTGGCAGTCAGTGCAGCATCGAAGAGTTCGCCACACAAGTCGCCTCCACGCCGCAGCAAGCACTCATATCCAGCATCGATAGAACAGTTGCTGCATCCGTCATCCTGCTCCGAGTTGCCATCATCACACTCTTCGAAGGCCTCGCGTACTCCATCGCCACAGACGGTAACATGCACCTGGCAGGTTGCAGGCATTGACTGGGGCTTGGTAACGAGCAGAACTGTCCGGATACAGCCTGACTCGAAGATTGGAAAAGAGTATGTGAGGCACACTGAAGCCTTCTGGTAGGCACGTTTGCGCTCGGTGAAGCATGAAAGGACGAACGAGCTCAAAACAGAATCACTTACCCTCGAGCTGAATGCTGCATCACATATATGAACTCTTCCTCTTGGCTTTGTGCTGTGAGCTGGTCACTGCTCTGTTGTTGTGGTCTGAGGTGGCCGTTGGTCCTGTGTGTTCTGACCTGGTCGTCGAAGGCTGCGTGGGCCGGTCGTGGTCTCTTGCATGCTCTGAGTTGAGCATGTGGCCAATTACGTTTGACAAACCGCAGTGGTAAGCTTGTAGTGCTCTTTTGAAACGGCCGAGAATGGAAGCCACCGGATGACCCGGGCTGCTTGAAACAAGATCAAGAACAATCCTCGTCCGAAAATTGATCCGGCACCTGAGGCCAGAAGGAGTCGGACACGCGACTGCAGTTGCCAGTAGCCTGGCACCTATAGACCTAGCCTTCATGATGTGCCATCGTGCGCGACCTATGTCTCCTGGGGCGTCACCTGCCTGTTTCTCGGGCTCGGAACATGCAATTTCACACGCTCAAGGCACCTCGAAGCTTCCCACAGCCACGGGGTCGTTGCAACTGCGCGCATGGCACCAGCAGACCCAATAGATCCCAGGGTCCAGTGCCGGGATCTGCCATCTCTGCGATGTTTCCCGGCTGCCCGAAAAGCCTGTCTGGGAGATTCGGAACTCAAGCTGCCTGTTGGCGTCCACTGACGGAATACTGCACGAGGAGTTGTGGTAAAGGCGGATTGTGGCGGAGATGGGCATACCCAGCCCCACAACTGTCAAGTCGAAGGGCTTCGAAGGTGCAGGGGCTAAGCCCTCACTCTGAAGCCCGAAGGGCCCTGAAACCATGAGCTCTCCGACATAGACCAGGGGCGGCTCGTGCATGAGCCGTGGCGACCAACAAACGGCAAGCAGGGCATCAACGGCGTCGGTGCCCAGCTGCAGCAAGCCGTTCTTCAACGATCTGTTCTCCGAGCTGACCGCCTCAGGGTGAAACAATCACTTTGAAATAGGTCCTGTTGCCTGGCAAGCCCTAGGCCTTAGATGCAAAAATTCGCACAACCGCTCCTCGCCTGTAGAAGAACATCACCATCGCAATCTCCACGGTGGATCGCCAGAGAGTCCTCGTGAGCAGAGCCTGGAATGTCCAGGATACAATCCGCCCCCAGAGAGCAATCGACATCTGAACCGGCGACCGAAGGGCCGTCCACGACCAAAGTGCCGAACGGCACTGCAAAGGTAGCATCCGTGCTTGGCCTCCAGCACAGCGAGTACTCCCAGGGGCCTTGCTGTTCGGAAGATGCTGGAGGGCCGAGGAACGAGGAGTTCGTAACATTCACCACGGCCCACGCCACTTGGAAAGGACCCTGAAAGGAGGGATGCCCCGCAGCTTTGGCGGCGCAGCCACCCAGAGGGCTGGATCCTACGAGGCTGTCAGTCGGGATGTCGCCAAGCAGCCCGATCTCACACTCCGCAGCTGCTCTGCAGTTCCACATGCCTTCCTGTGGACCCTGGCTCTGGAAGTAACGAATCTCGCCTGTGCAGTTCGCTCCTGTCAAACTCAGAAATGCCCCCTCTTCCACGACGAGGCGATAAATTGCTCCGGGTTTCATAGAGGTGCCTGGGAGCTGCAAACGCACCACAGCTCCACGGATTTCCAAGAGTTTCAGGAGAACGGTGCTGTTGCTGGCGTGTGCCTTCACCCGCTCTGGCCCTCCAATCTGAATGGGCTCGCTAAACTGAAGCCTCACTTCAGAATCGATCGGCAACGACGTGTTGGTGCTTGCAAACTCCAGATCCATGGCCATCTCAGGGTACACGGCCAAGACCTCTGGAACTCCAAAGACAAAGCTTTCCTGATCAGGGATCTGCAGCTCCGCCTGCAAACTGCGCCCTGGCTCCGTCACTGCCGCGAGGTCCTCGTCCTGCAGTCGGGTGACAATGCTGCCGGCGAGCTCAGAGCGCCCGGTCTGCAAGATGCTGCGGGTTGCCTCGCTTGAGTTGCGGGTGTTGAAGACGATCCGAGACTCACCGACGACGGAGCCTGGCTTTAACTGAATGCGCACATCACTGACTGAGACGCCGGAGAAGGCTGCCACTTCCTGGGCAAGCAATTGCCGAACCTTTTCAGCTTCCATGGGCAATGACATGAGTTTGGCATAGCTCAGGCCACCCAAAGTGACGTTCATGGAAACCATGTTGAGGCTGGCGGCCGGGGCGGTGGTGAAGCTGAAGGGAAGCGGGAGCGCATCCCTCTGCGAGGAGTCCATAAAGCTGAATGCGTCAGTAATGACGTCGTAGGTGGTGCCCGGTCTGAGGATGGTGGGGGGCATCAACTGCACAGAGTGGTGTGCAAAAACTGCGGAGGAGACGGGTATGATTACAGGTTCTGCCGAGTCAGTGCTTCGTGGAAGGAGTCTCACACAGGCGCTGCTTAAGCCAGGTTGTACCTCAGTGTTGAAAATGAGCATTAGCCTGGCTGTGCAAGGCACCATTGTCTCACCGGGCAGAGGGCTGGTTGCCATTATCATGGGCTGCACGATGCTCTCAATGTCCGTGGTAATCGTTGATGAACAAGTGCGCACCTTGACGCCCTGCGCAAGCATCTCTGTATCTTCCACGGCCACAGATCCTGCTGGGCACTCGTCACGACACTGCATGTCGTCCGCCAGCACGCCTTCTGTGCACCAGTAGGTCAAGTTGTTTTCCGAGACCAAGCCATCTTCGTTCGTTGGGCTGAATGTGTATGACGATGTGGTGGTAGCTGCAGGCTGCGATGACGGCCCTTCCGGCATCCACTGCCCAACGAAAAACATAGACATCGAAAGCACAACGATGGCCAGTATCAAGGGTATAACACACAAGAAAGCAATCGCAAGTCTTTCTTTGACACTGTACTGCCGCAGTAGCTGGCATGAAGCAGACATCGATCGTTTGCAGCGATGCCGGAGATTTCGCGATTCGGTTTGGGTGGAAGCATCAACAGCCGTTGCTCCTTCCCATGCTGGACCAGGAAGGTGAGGGGGCACCGCTGCAGGTGGCTGAGGGTCACGCCGTGTCCGCAGGGAGCGGGAATGGCGATCGCTGCGGCTTGTCGTGGCTGCTGCTGGAGTCCCGGGCAGATCCGGCACCAAGCTCTCTTCAGCTGTTGCCACGGCATCATGCTCACCAGCAAAGAGTGCATCATCCACAGCAATGTCCTGCAAATCGTCTTCTTGCGACGGCGGCATTGCAGCTAAGTCTGGAACGGAGGTGACTTAGCTGCTTTGCCTGCTCATGACTGACAAGGAGATGACGTGAAGGGCTACTTGGATGTGCTGCATTGCTTCGCCGGTGTCTTTTACAATTACTGTCGATAGAGACTGCAAGGGCAAAGAAACAGCCCTGTTACAGTTGCTGCCGATAGTGACTGCAAGGGCAAAGAAAGAAGCCCTAGAGCCAGAAAGTGGGACATTCTCACGCAGGCAATGAGGCTCGATGATCGGATCTACATTGCCACGACTCCCGAAGCAGTTGTGGCTACGGCCTGTTGCACGCAGACCTGACGTATACCATTCCAAACACGCTCTTTGGTCGGTGGCATCACGAACACAATGCTTTTGGGCCCTTCAAGCTGCATCATGCGCTGCAGTTCGCGAGCGCAGAATCGCAGAACACCTGAAATCAAAGAAAAGCTCTGACGGTGTCAGCCCTCGAGTCGATGGGATCCCGTGCTTTCTTCGAGCTGTGCATTCAAAGCTGCCTTCGTCAGTAACCTCAAAGGCTACAGCTTAAGAGGCGGACGGCATGCCACTTGCCTTCCATGCAGCCACAGCTTTTCAGAGTACCTTGTCAACATGTCCGGACGCTTCTCAGATTGGCCTCTTGCGCTGCGACTCATGAAGCTGTCGGTGGGACTCACACAAAACCGAGCATGCTCATGTCTTGAGCCGAAACATCATAGGGCAGCAAACAGTGAGACGCAACCGATGCCAGTCCGTGTAAACATGGTACTCTATTTTACGCCCCAAGGCCACTGAAGAGCACGTGGAAAAGCTTAAACCACGACGAAGACTTGCTTCAGCGGCGGAAAAATCGCAAATGCCCCCACCCTTTTGGGCCAGAGCTTTCAGAACGCAAAAGCACGGCCCCATTTGTCGCCATAAAGGCGGGACCGTTCCTGCAGCGGCACGAGAGGACAGCCTGGACAGCTTCAGAGAATCCAAAGCACCCGAACAAGGAACATGCCACAAACAAGCACAAGGTTCTAAAGAGCTTAAGATATCCAGGAGTCTCTGCGAAACCGGTGTGTGGTGAGCAGGCTTCAGCCAATGACATGACCGGTGCACATTTTGCATATGACGCACGATGCTTGAGTGAGGAGAAGACCACCGACAAGAACCGTAGAGTGATAATCTCCCTGGTGACGAAGGCAATTGTAACAGCAAGAAACAAGAACTTCACCATGCCACCAATTGACTGAGGAAGCTGTGAAGTCGGCAAACTTTTGTTTCAGCATTTAGGATTTCGGGTTGAGCTTTCGGGTTGAGGGTCTGGGGTTTAGGTTTTCGAAAGACGCAATCCTCCCTAAGGCTGGAAACAACGGCCAAGACCCCCACCGAACGCTGGCGACGCCAATGTACAACCAGACATTTGAACACGACCATCCGAACTCCGTGCTGCCGCATCAGTGTGGGAGTCTCCGTGCTTTGGTAAGAAACGGCCAGGTAACATGGCCACCGAAACACACGAAGTCATGTTTCATGACCCTCAAGCTAACTTAAACTTGGCCAACCCTTTTTCACAATCTTATGGGCATTGTTAAGGTTCTTAGTTAATACTCAGTTTTAAACCTCGAGTGTTCAAAGCTTCCACACTTGAAGGATTCCTGCTACGGTCTCACCCAAGGTGGTTGATTTGGAAATCAGGGCACGTTTAGGATTTATTTTAACCTTTGAGTTTTGGGTTTGGGTTTTTTCTTGAGCTAGGTTCAGGGGTTCGGGGTTTTGGGTACTGCATTGGGGTTTCGAAACTCTCAGGGTTGGAGGCTGGGGATCGTTCTGGGGAGGCCCCTGTGGCGCACACGTTTTCGAAGGGTTTTTCGGTCTCGAACATGAACCCGTCAAATCTGTCAAAATGAAGGTCGAGACAAGGTCCGGGAGAATTACTCTAGAGGCTCCCACATGAGTTTGCCTTGTGCAGCGTACAATTTCGGTTTGCTCTCCGGGGTCAGGGCAAGCGACTTGGGAAAAACACTGGACTAAAATTCTGATCTGGTGCCTCATGTCGCTAGTCTGCTGCGTGTGGGGACCCTTGAATAGTATTATAGGGTCCCGACAAACGTGTGGTTTTCAGGCCATGTCAGGGGCACAAACGTGTGGCTTTGAGGCCACAAACGTGTGGTTTTCAGGCCACATCAGGGCCACAAACGTGCGGCTTGGAGGCCACATCCAGCCACAAACCTGTGGTTTTGAAGCCACAAGAGTCCACAAACACGTGGTTTTCCGGCCACATCAGGGCCACAAACGTGTGGATTTCAGGCCACATCAGGGCCACGAACTGTGGTTTTCAGGCCACATCAAGGCGTTTAGAGGCCACAACAGACCATATCACAACACATAAGTGGATTGGGCGGTTTTGGGCCCCGAACATGTTCTCTGTTATGTTTCATTGTGTGGAACCCCATCCGCAAAAAAACGTTAAACCCAACACACAGCATCAAACGCGCGGTTTCGACGAAAAGCACGCGGGTTGCTATTGTCCTAAACCCTCCTGCAGGGCCGCTGAGACGTGTTGACTTGCTTCAAACTATACCAGCTCTTTCTAGTCCGATTTACCAAAACGTCGCATGGAGTAACGAATTCGTAGCAACTGCTACAATTTCAGCCACTCCGGACCCCACTACTCCGTGCGACTCTGTCAGAAGTGCAAATCCCCACAAATACTAGCTCTTTCACCACATCCTAAAACACTGCGTGAAACCGGGACGGACGGCGAAGTAAGCCTTCCCTTGCAAAAACTGGGATTCAAGGACATATCCCGCTTCAAATATATGCTGCTATTGAATCGGGGGTTGAGGAACAAGGGCCACTCCCCGAAGCCGTGAAAAAGCTCCTGCTCACTGGCAGCTTTGGGTCTGCTGCTTTTCACTTTGGTCCCAGGCCACCCAAACCACGTCTGTTGCTTTCACTTTGGTCCCATGCCCTCCAAAATCTACCGGAGCGTGGTGTCCAAAAGGCGTGGTGTTGCTCATGCTCGATGTCGAAACATGCAAAACCCCTCATGTTTCAGGCGGAATCCAGCTCAACCCCGTTTTAACTATACAATAGCAATTTAAAACGGTGTTCAGGACATCACCGCTTTGCAAAGCGCATGTTCATGCAGCAGATGGCTCCGGACATCTTTGTTAGAATTCTACGGGGGGTGGGGGCTTGCAGAAAAAAAACCGTACAGCCTGCGAGTGGCACTCTCAGTTGGATGACTCCATCGGAAACACTCCTACGACTGTGTCTTGGCGGGTTTGGGGATATGAAGTGGGTTTGGGGTGGCGGCTGGCGTCTTCCGGCATTCTTTGCCAAACAACGTCTTCTCCTGGAGTTTGTTTCGACATTCAGCTTTCTGCAAACACACCTTCCAACTCACCCCGGAGGGAGGGACGAAGCGCCAAATTGACATCACCACACGAAGCCGTGGCAATGACTCTCTGTCCAAACATGTTCAGGTTTGTCTGGACCCATAGGTACTTGGTGGCCATTGTGTGCGAGCATCCCAGCAGATTGCTACTGCAGCCCGCCGGCAACCGGATCGCAAGGCGTCTCAGCTGACTCAGCTGAGACAGAACTTCAAGCGCAGGCATATAGAAGTGCGGTTGCAGATCGTCTTGCATTGCTGGAGCGCTGGAACACCAATGACATCAATTAGACCCTGCTGGACGAGACCTTGCAGCATGCGGTCGCAGGAGCAGGAGCGGTCAAGCGTATGTGGAAATGTTAAAAGCAGCTCCAAGATCTCAAGTCCCGGCCACAAACAGATCAGTGTAAGCCGGCCCCGGCACGTGGTTGTGCTTGACATTTGAGCCAGGTAAAGGGGGTAAAAAGTCCGGGTGGCGGACCCTGTCGGGAAGTCCATGCCAGAAGCCGTTGCAGAACTTGGGAGGCACTTTATCAGGCGGTGGCCAGTTTCCCACAATTTGCATTTACGGGCATGCGTGGTACCGCGCACAGGCTCACCAGAGATTTTCAGCATGCATGAGGCCAGGAGCTCAGTTGCACGCAAGCTTTGCCATGCAACGTTTGACCCTTCAGCATGAGCATGCACGTCAGAGGCAGCAGGCATTGGTGGCGCCATCACCGAAGCTCTCGACATGACCAAAGCTTTCGATAGCTTGGAGTCTGAACACATGCACCAGGCACTGGAGTTTGCTCTAGCTTGGTATGCAGATTGCAGACTCTAAATGTGCAGTGCTATCCCATCACACGACGCATTAGCGCTGCGAGAGCCGCCTTCACCAGCTTGAAAACCGGTTCTTACACACAAGCACCTTCCCCAGGACACCAAGATACGCATCTGGAGTGCGCGCGTGGTGTCTAGCATGCGGTGTGCGATGCTCAAATCAATGGCGGCCTCTGAGAGAGCGAAAGTGCCGTCCTGCCGGATGTCGTAGTGGAAGATGTCGCCCCCTCGGACATTGATGCCGGCATCCAGGCGGCGCCAATGGGGTACGGCCATATCGCCAATGTACCCAGCCTGAGGCCGACAGAGCGAACGCAGGCAGGCAGTGGCGGCGGGCAGAAGCTCAAGCGAATGCTTGGCTTCAATTGCTGGGCTTCACCTGAGCAAAAGGGCTAGCGGGATATAGAAGGGGGTCGGACTTGTGTTGCAGGGGAGAGCAGACTGACCCATGAGCAGGCAGAACAACGATGGGCATCGCTTTCCCCCTCAGCGCCGACATCCGCTCACAGGGTAGCGGCCAAACCGGCTACAGAGCCTCTGCTCCTCATCCCTCCCTCAGCTGTGGTAGAATGCTTGGTAGCCATGACGTCCTTGGGTGTCGTAGTAGGAGATAATCCCGGTAGCTGCCGAACGGGGGTCAGCCGTCACACACTTGAGCCAGGCAATGCGTCGGTTGGCTTCAACAACCACCAAGTTGCAGTTGTAGAGGGAATCGTGGTGAGGAACATTCAGGCCGGCCCCGAGGGCCTCCCAACGTCCCGGCGCCCGATGGCCCTCCAGTTGCAGGACCAGGCCAGTC